TTGTTTTGAGACTTTAGTCTTTGCAACTTTAGGGATCTTATCTATGCACAATCAGCTTGTAACACTCCAAAGAGAAAGGAAAACTTGAAATCGCATCATATGACCCCTTTAAAGACATGATGAATGTATCTATAAAAAGCTTTAAATGACTACAAAAGGAAATAATTCAAATCCAAAACAAAAAGTCTTATTATTATGTAATCCGTAAAGATGCATTTGTTTCTAAAGGCGCGTCCAATGATGAGATGGCGAGTCAGGATCATCAACTTCATCTTTGCGACACTGACTCATAAAACACTAGTTTATTAATAAATAATTCAAATATCTCACTATTTTCCCCCAACATATACATGGTAACTTTTGCAGCAAGCTTTAGCCATTTAGCATGCTCACGTCACGTTGCTGTGCGCCATGGTCACGAAAACTCACCACCAACATAGTCATGGTAATTTTTGCGGCAAGCTTTAGCCTATTTAGCGTGCTCACGTCACGTTGCTGTGCGCCATGGTCACGAAAACTCACCATTTGCATCTGTTTTTAAGCATTGTGGTTTAAAAACAAGCGATTTAAGCCATTGAAACGCAAATAACAGCATTATATGCGCGAGCTGTCTGTTTCTGAGCGTGATTTCTGCAATTGGGTCGGATCGAGGTCGGGTCATATTCACACCTTAAACTAACAGAGTTCGTTTGGAAGCGGACCGAGAACACCTCTTCAGCTGGGTCTCGGTGCGGTTGTTTGGTCCGCACCAGAGTGCGATTGCTGTATTCACACCTGCCAAAAAGGTCCGCACCAAGAGGGGAAACGAACTTGAGTTCGATTCAATCGAACCAAACAAGACAGGTGTGAATACACCCTAAAACAAAGCCTCGGTTAAAAAGAAAAAAGTACAAATGACTGATGCCAACAACACTACAGAAATTACTTTCAACAGCCCTAACACAGGTTTCATTTTCTTTAAAGGAATTTTGGGATGAAATATGATCCACTTGGGGTGAAATATGGTATGTTTTGTGAGATTAAAACCCAATTCTTCAGTGTGTACCTCTCGGATCTGGACTGCTCCACCAGCAGAGCTATGAGCGCGATCATCTTCTCAAGAGCGGCTGGCCTGTACTTCTCCTCCGCCAGTGAGAGGATGTCCTCCTCTTCATCCTCCTCACCCTCCTCCTCCTCCTCAGATAACACCTCCACCTGAGGCTGAGAGACAGAGAGATGGACGTGATGATCTGAGATCAGGGAATCCCTGAATCAGAGAAGATCAAGCCTGATGAGACGCCACTCACATTTTCAGGTCCTTTAGTGCCTATGTAGAAATGCACCATTATAGAAATGGCTTGCAAAGACAAGAGGAACTGACTCTGTGAAGACAAAAAGAAGAAAAAAATAAAGATGAAAACAAAAAAAAATAATGAACATACTTTAAAAATTGTCCAATTTTAGCAAATAATAAATAAATACCTAAAATGAAGCAAGTAAAATAAATAAGTAGGTACGTAAATAAATAAATAAGTAAAAAAAATAAAGTAAATAAATACATTAAGTAAGTAAAATAACTAAAGTAGATACATAAATAAAATGAAACAGAGCGCGGCTCAACCAATCAGAATTATCCGTTTTATAAAAATAAATAAATAAATAAATAAAAGTAGGCGAGTGAGTAAGTAGATGTAACCTCCTCTTCTCCCATTTTGGCAAACTCATAGAGGAAGGCAAAGTATTCAGTCAGATGTTTGCTGTGCGGCTTCACTCCGTGCTCCATGATTGACAGCAGCGTTTTGACGAACCGCGTCACACACGAGCGGCTGCCGATGTCCTCCACCGGCCCGTCCATATCATCAGAGCTGCAGACAGAGCAGAACAACAACAGCCAGCAGAAATTAGAAGGTTTATAGAACAATTCCCTATTTTCCTGACAGTATAACAGCACATGGCTTTGAAGACATGAGGAAAGGATGTTATTTGGCTCCAGAGGAAGACAAAAAGGGATGCATCACACACCCGTCCTCCATGCCCGGCTGCAGGTACAGGTGAGC